CCCCCCCCCCCTTCGTCTAGATCGCACCCTCTCTCTCCCAACAACCTTAGGCCAACTTTATAACCTCTGCTCTCTCCCCATCCATATCTCGACCATTCCTACAATTCCTTCTCGTCTGTGAACACGCATAACATCTTCTTATAACTAAGTTTTCGTACAAACGTCTCTCATTCTTTCTATTTAAAGCATAGGGAAATGGAATATAATACACGTAATAATATGATTTCCATTAATTTTGTAAAACGCGAAATACGTTTGGAAAGAAAATGTAAACTTTCTAGATCCGCAGAAAATAGGGAGCATTTTTAGCAAAGTGAAAATAAGACATTTTAGCCTTGTACTCCTGTTATCCATGTAGTAAAATTCAAATATAAGGTGTACTTTGATAATACACTTATATTTTCACTGAAATAATATTTTCTGTGGGGATATAGGATCCAGTGTTTTCACCTCCAGAAAAATTTACTCGTCTCCCTGTCAAAATGGCGACGTACACAGGTCTCAGTCGCTGTGGAGTTTTTCACGACCAAACCCATTTAAAGAACTGTTTAATTGCTTTGAACGACCAAAGAAACTTATCTCAGTTTTGTGATGTTGTGCTCAAGGTATGTGGAACACAGATATATGCCCACTCTAATGTGCTTGCAGCTGCGAGTCCGTATTTTGGTTCGATCTTGGGCATTGGTGCAGACTGCCCGAGAGGATTCTCACAAAAACAACCTCAAATAATCGAAATCCACATAGATTCCCATGACGGGGATGGTGGTTATGGTGAGGCAGTGAGCAAAGTAGTTGAGTTTATGTACACTTCTAATATTACATTAAAGGCTACTCTAATAACTCAAGTTATTGAGATCGGAAAAATTATGAGAATGGACACTTTGCTTCAGTTTTGTGATATGTTTCAAAATGGGGAAGACAGCAATGACCCGAAGACTATTGGCACCTGCACAACTGGTTTGGAAGAGATTGCCCAGCTGTTAGGTTCTCGAGCTCGGACAGTGAAGAAAGCTGATGCATTTACAGAAACAGAAAAATCTGTGTTTGACAAAATCCGGCCAGATTTAAATTCTGTTTCAAGTCCCCAAATTTCTACAACACTGGAATCAAGTTCAGAACTGATTTTATTAAAACAACAAGAAGCACAAATACTTGAGAAATCTTCAAATTTGCCTGCTGTAACAGAGGATGATAGTCAAAAGAATGAGACTCCGACCAATGCTTCTCAAGACATCGATGATGAACTGCCAATCTCAACGAATATTGGATTTGAAAGTATGGATCAAGATCAAAACGATGCGTCCTTACTGTTAGCCATAAGTAATGTGCGTCCTCCCTTAGGTGTTACCGATGCTTCCAAACCGTTACAAGGTACTTGTGAGCCTTCAGGAATGACAGACAATCCTGACCCCAATCCTAGGATGACAACCCCAGAACCTGAGAAAGTGGATGAATCTTCATTGCTAAAAAAATCTGACTCTGGTCCTGAAAAAGGCTTAAGTGATATCAGTATTAAAACTGTGATGATGATTGCTTCAATAAAGGAGGAGACCAGTGCTAATACTTTTGATAAAAATGTGCCGAGTTGTTCCTCCAATGAAAATGCTACAACTACAAATAAATCTGATAGTGAGATGTCTCAAAGAATTTCACAGCTAGGAGATTCTCGAGTGAAATCACAAAAAGGCATAGACTTAGACGAAATATCAGATCTTGTTCAGTTTTATCATGTTGATACAGGGCTGTATGCAGGTGCTAATTCAAATAGTAAGCCACCCAGCAGATCACGGGGCAGAGGTAGAGGTCGGGGGAGGGGGCGTGGCAAGAGGAGAGGCAGAGGACGAGGCCCTGGTCGGCCCAGGAAAGTGGTAGAAGAACCAGAAAGTGATCCTGAATTTGAAGACTTCATTGAAAGACTCGAAAGGGGGGATGATGTCCTTCATAATTCTGATGATGAGTCGAAGAGGACAAAATCCATGAAAGAAAGTGAAAGCACTTCCAGTGCACAGCCTGTAGGCTCCACTCTTGTAGGGGAAGCGTTTTTGAAGTGTGACGTTGTCAAAGAGTTACCAATGGAGACAAATATTGTGGCTAAAGAAGGTCATAGTCTGCAATGGAAAAGTAAAAGAGTGAGGTCAAAACCATCACAGCTGAAGAAAGATTATGTGATGCATTCTCTTGGTAAGAAAAGCAGGAGACCTCACAAAGAAACTAAACAAGAAGAGACATCTGAACCAAACCAAGTGGCATTGCCTAGAGAGACAGCGAATATAGTTGTACAGAACAGCTCAAAATCTGGCTTGAAATTTGTTTGTGAAAAGTGTGAATTCGCCAGTCATGTATTCAAGGAGTATCGTCAGCATTTGAAGATTCATCCAGAAACAGATCCTAAATATTTTCTGTGTACAAAGTGTGATTTCAAAACTACTAAAGCAAGGGAATACAAATTACATAAGTACAAACACATGTCTGAAGAATTCATTTGTTCTTTTTGTGAACATCAATCTGAAAACCATCAAGCTTACAAGGAGCATTCTGTGAAACATGAGGGAGCATTGCCATATTTCTGTACTGAGTGTGAATCAAGATTTAGAACAAAAACTCAGTTGATGGCTCACAGGCCAAAACATCAGCTGGTAAAACCTTTTGTGTGTGCCATTTGCAGTGCTGGATTCAAATGGAAACATGCTTTGAAGAACCACATGATCACTCACAACCCTACAAAAGACCACTTGTGTGATGTCTGCGGTTATGCAACTGCCCACAAATCACAACTGAAGGCTCACAAACTGATTCACTCAGGCCAGCTCTTCAAGTGCCCTGTCACAGGCTGTCAGTTTGAAGCCATCAAACGACAAAATCTCAAGTACCACATGGTCACACACACACATGAGAAGCCTCACCAGTGCGAGATATGTGGTCAGAGTTTCTCCCTTATAAAAAACATGAGGCGCCACATGCTGCTTCATTCCGACTCTCGACGCTACTCATGTAAAGTCTGCAGCTTCAACACCACTCGTTACGACAAGCTCAAAGAACATCATTACAAACTTCACAACATCGGTGAACAGCCAGGAGGGGTGAAGAAAACTTATCGTCCAAAGCCACCAGCAGAAGAATCTATAGCCTTGATTTCTCCAGATGTCACTTATGTGGCTTCTGAGGGGATACAGATCAACGCAGATGGGACAATATCTGAAGAAGCCTTACAGCAAATTGCGCAGCTTGCAAATGCGCAAAATTCAAGCATTGTTGACATTCAGAGCACTTCGATTGACATCAGTGAGCAGTCTACTCAGGAATCATCTGGGTACCCTATCATTGCGACTGTCCAGTATACTGATGGACAAGAAGTCCAGTACATTGCTGAAGTTGCAGAGTGATTGAACTCAGTATGAGTTTCAAATAAAATATTTTGAATAATAGTGTACAGGCATCAAGGCTTTAGCGAGAAAAACAAGTCACATTTGACTCTGCTTTAGTTTAGGGTGACTCTTTCAGCCAGCAGCTTCTGATTTGATATCGTGCTTTGGTTTTTCTATTCCTTTGCCTGATTCTCTCTTTTTTTCGGGCCTGCACTTGTAGACTGATTTTTTTGGTGTGTGTGTCAGTTTATTGTGTTATAGCTGAAAAGTTTCAACCATCTCATTTTCTCCATTGGAATGACTCGTTTTTCTAACAACAGTGATACAATGTATAATGTATTGTAATGTACCTTATAATGCTTCCCATTGTTAGCAATCAAACATTAGATGTAAATTGAAGTTTTTTAAGACTGTACTCTATTAGATTCTGTTCTTTTTGAAAATTGTATTCAACTCAATCCTTGCCTAATCTGGTAGCTAATCTTTAGTCTATTCACATTGAAGCTTTTCGGTGTAGTTTAATTGAATAATCCTTTATAAATTGTTATTTTGTTTATTTTAGACTCTGATTCATTGACTGTGGTCAGTATTGGAGAAGTGGGTGGCTGGAGGGTGACTATCCATTTTCTTTCCCTCTCTTGTTTTTGGATGTCTTTCTTGTTTTACCTCCTGCACTAAAAGACTGTCATGTTGTCATATTAATGTGATATTTATGAAAAATATGATGGGAAAGTAGCAAGTGCAGAAGAGTTTTATTGATATATATGATATTAGCTCCCTTTTCAAAATGTAAGTTGTCACAATGATATTTCCATACATGATGCTTCCCTGCCTTCTCACAGTCCTACTGACTCCTTCCAGAAGCTTCTAATTTGATGTCCTGTTTCTTCTTGGCTTTTCTATTCCTTTGCGTGATCTCTTTCTTTATTTCGGGCCTGCACTCCTGGACCTATTTTGTTGGTATTGTGTATCTGATTTTTTTGTTAAAGTTGAAAATTTTTAGCCATCTCTCTTGCTCAATTCTTTTATTGTTAGTCTTTTTGTTTGTTTTCATGCTTTCGTTAATTTTTTCTGTATGACTTGATTTTAAAATTTGAAAAGGCCTTTTTATCAGTATGAGGCAACCTTAAAGAATTAGGAACTTGTCAGAGTTTGGACATTTTGACTTTTTGCTACCATCTTATCTCAGGGATTGTCCTAAGTGTTCCACAGTCTTAATTTGGAAAAGATATTCGAGGACTGAAGTTATAATGGAAAAGAATTTATTTTTTTTGCACGAAGTTAGAAAAACAGGTTTTAAACTTGTTTCAACAAAGATTATTTATTTACAACTTAGAAACACACAGATTTAGCTAATTCTTTAGCTTTTTGCATGCCAAGTTTTAAGATTGTATAAAAAGCATAAAAATGTTCACAAATTGAATAGATCGGCTTCATTGCTCCTGTCATAATGCACCATTGTATTGTGAACACACCAATTAAAATAAGTCTTATCTAGCAAATTCAGCTACAGAAATAAAAGACAACTGCTGCAATGGTGATTGAAACATAAGCGCCGAAAAGTTCTCAGTTCAATGAGATTCCCTGTGATGCAGACTTGTAGGTCCTACCCACGTAGTATGTGATGTAAGTTCAGGTGGAGAGCCCAGAGCATGATCCCATCTGGGGCAAACATTGTTCCTTATCATCGAGATTTGCAGTGGACACATGATCAAAATCTTGAGAGTTAATGATCTGTGATGCCGTGAACAGTACAATGATCACAAATATTCACTGCTTGAGCTTGGTCGATCAATAAGGTTTTCACATAATTATACATAATATGTGTGTATGAGTGCTGTGCCACTGTTTGTGGGAAACAAGGAATATTACAGTAGAAAAATGTACATGTATTAGTTTTTAAAATGACTCTTTTAAAGTATTTGAATGGGGAGGGGGGTTTATTTTGTGTGGTTTGGTCTTTCTGCCTTTAAAAAAAGTGTCATTATTATTCTACTCTATGCCCAGAGATGTGTGGCTATTACTATTATCATGTTCTGACTCAGTATTGACTGCTGCTCTAACATATATTGGAAGTATTGTTAGTTAAAGTAAGAATTATTGTTGATGTTATCACATTCATTTTGATGCACATTTTATTCAACGCTCATATGACCTTATGCAGTTGCAAGCGCTGTAAAACTTGTACTAAAACTAAACTATACTAAAAACAAACAAATGGTTTTATGAATGGGTTGAGAGTGGGTTGTTGCCAATTTTTATACTGAGTTCTGAATAAGCAGTTTGAAATTTTTTGTTTCCTAGCTTTTCAGCATAATTTTCCTTGCTGTTGTACTAAGATTTAAAAAGTAACAGTTCCATATTCTTTGAAATTTCTATGCTGATTTTGACCTTTGCCTTTTGTGCCATAGGCAGATCTTTTCTGATCAGGCTGGATATTGAACTCAATACTTTCAAAATAAATCAGACTGATAATTCAAAATCATAAAAGTACAAGATATCATGTGTGGATCTAAGATTCTAAGATGAAAAAAATATATATTTCAAGCATCATGCCTGTTCTACTAAACTACTAAAGTGATGTTGTTTATTGTTCTGTAGATTTCATTTCGGGAATACAGTATTATACAGTCGGCTCCTTTTTCACCTTGCCTTTCATAAATTGTGACATGTGGAGGTCATCAGTTTGCAGACATTAGAACTGTTGCATGGACAAGGTTCCCCAAAGATTGTTCTTATCATTTTCAATACAACTGTGACTGATTTTTTTTAGGGTAAGTTTTTTACGGCGCTCGCAACTGCATAAGGTCATATTAGCATGCGGGACACATTAAACATTTTCTGTTGTTTGGAAATTTTTGCCTGGGGTGGCGGCTGAAGCTTACTCTTAATGACTTTGGACCCCCAAGAGATCTTTAACGTGCGCAACTTGCACACGGAACCTCCAAGATTATTCACCTTTGTCCGAGAAGGTTAGATGTAGATCCTTCCTACCAGAAGATCAAGGGTGTGACTGAAAGACAGCAGTAAGAAGGAGCCAAGGAGTAGCAGTAGAAAGACTGCAGAAAGAGGCAGGAGCGCAGGGGAGAGGACAAAAGAGGTGATGGGGTATGGGCAGAAAGTGGATACGAAAGCAGACGACAGAACATTGCTGGAGAGAGGAAAGGAGACAATATTTGAGAAGAAAAATTTCAGTTGCTATCCGGATTCGAACCCAGGACCTATTAAATGAGAGGCGAACACCTTAACCTCTAGGCCATGAGAGCCCCCACTATGACTGATTCTCAAGTTTTTTTTACGTTTAGATTTTATTAGTAATTAATAATTAAATTGACAATAAAAGAGTTTGAAAACATACTGTAATGTTTGATTTTCATCGTATAAATAATGTGCAATTTGATCAAACTGAATGAAAAGTTTTTATATGTGAGCTGTACTGACAAAATGAGTTTCTTCTCGCAATCCTTATATAAATGAATTGAAATGTCGGCTGGAAATCGATACATATATATCGGTTATACTTGTAGGATTTTCAACTGATGTCATTTTCTTCAAGTTTGACTTTGTAAAGTTCAACTTACTGATAAATTTGATATATCAATAACACTAAAATCTGAGAAGTAACTCATATTGTTAACACGCCTCATGTAATGTAATATTTTAACAGTTAGAAAATTGAGCAGTGTATTTCAAGTTTACAATTATTGGTGCTTGTACACCAATGTGTTTAGTTGGTGCTGTCACAATTATGATTATTATTACCCTCCGCTCCAGATTTTGTTTTCATTCGCACTGGAATTCATTCAAATTCATTGCCATGTGTGTGGAGAAGTAAGAAATTTATACTTGTATCATAAGCGGAATGTTTGTACATTATCCTAAACAGCTTGGATTTTTTTTTTTTTTTACTGTCTCAAAGAATAAACAAATTTACAGTACTGAAACTTTGAAAATCAATCCCTGTAAAACTAAATTTTTCTGTTGTCTTTTGTTCTTTTCATTTTTTGCAAGTGGATAGCTTGCTAAGGTTTGATACTCTCAGTAGAAAAGTAGGCCTACAATTATTTTACAGTTCTTGTTATATTTAGGTAGGCTTCTTTGTACTGCACACAATGTACAGAGTTTGTACTGGTGTGTCCTCTGATTTGTTGTTATGATTGCAGGGAACTTTATTGCTATTATTCTCCATGTACTCCCAAACTGTCTACTGGTGGTTGAAGGGCACCAGGGGCACGTTTTTCATAGCAGTCTCTCTATGGTTTTTCTCTACCTTTCTTTTTCCCCATCAATAAAAGGCAGTTGTTGGGTCAGTGACTATCTCTTGAACTGACAACACTTTTGCTTTATCCGTGCCAACATGGAGAGGGAAAGACAACACCCCCCCCCTTGTTAAAATGTAAAAATCTTTAGCACAATGTACTTGAACACCTCTTCCCCCCCCCCCCCCCCCCCCCCCCCTCACGCCCCTTTTGTTGAAATGTATAAATCATTAGTACAATGTACTCTATATTTTTTCAAGTTGCCTTTTACTTGAGGAATTGTTTATGTCATTATTTAATTTTAATGATCTGTTATTGTACTTCTTCCCAGCCATACTGGATTCTGTCGTTTGAGATTAATTAGGCAGGTACTGGTATCTGAAACTGAGATATGGTTACATAAAAAAAAATTAAGTTATTAAATTCTTGTAATGTAAATTAGTTGTTGTTTTTTATTAATTAAAAAAATATGTTCTCAAGTATGTATAGTGTGATGATGTTTTTTGCTTTATGATTGACTTACCTGTGTCATCTGTTTGTTTTCATTTCATTAAAAAATTATGAATACTGTGGAACAGTACCAAATTTCTTTGTGCTGCTCCTCTGATGTAATTTTAATCTTTTTAGAGGGGATTGTTTGTGGGAGCTGTGGTGTGGTTTGCTGCTTCTTTCCCATAAAACATCTATCATCCTTATCTTCTCCTCCTTTTCTTTGTATGTTACTGATATTCTGTAGTAACAAACATCTCTAATCTGAGGCACTTATAGTCTCACTCATTGCGTTACTAGTGCCGTAAAACTTTAACGAAAAATTGAAATCTTGTAAGATGTACTGGGTTTGGGACTCACTGTTAGTGTTACAGGAATAAACTGTGCTAATTATGTACAAAGCTGAAAGTGCTATTTATCATAGCAGCAACAAAACCCTTGTCAATGTATGACATTTAGGCACCTTATCATATTTTTATCTAGTCTACTGTACATGCAGTCCTGAGTTTGTTGTCATTTAAGATTTATGACCTGCTAATGTTGACCAATGTCTATGGTGCAGTCGTTATGATCTTCCCCACAGTACTAAGAAGTAAGAAGTGAAGAGTTCAGTTCCTGCTTGGGAGGTCTATTTAGGCTGAAGAAGCCCTCCTCTTTAATGATCTAAATTTTAATCGTGTTGATGGGGATTGTTGCGTTTGCAATCATTTAATATGTTGAGCAAATCAAAAGGTGTGGTACTGCCGGTGTCCTCCCCATCCAGGTGCGAACTGTTTCTGTGTTTCAACACCAGCCACAGATGAGTCATTCTGTCTAGGAGACGGGTGGTGTGCACATGATTATGGGTGTGTAGCTATAGTTCTTACCAAAATGTTGATCTGGCTGTTTTTATGCTAATTTTTCCTCATCAAAGTCTGTGTCTGGATGAAATAAAATGTTATCAACCTTTAAAAAAAAAAATTCTCATGGTTTTTTTTCACATGGTACTAAAAAAGAAATTGCTGAGTCAGCTATATTTCACTCAAGAATCAAGAATCGGAGTAGAATAGTGGAACAGGAAATGTTTACAGGTAGCCTACAATATAATATTGCAATATGACACCTGGAAAGTGGAACAAAAGTCTACAGAAATAACGCAATTTTTTGTTAGTACGAGTTTCAGGCTATATGATTTATGATGAAGGAAAATAAACAAAGTTGAACAATTGGATCCAAATTTTACATGGATTGTGCCCCTTTTCCCACGTGAACATGCGTTTTGGGTTCAAAGCTGCTTAGTTTTGCAGATTTGGATTTTTGATATTGAAATGTTATCCACTTCTGCATGGATCAGCTGTTTTTCAACTGCTTCTGCGGTGTAGCGGTTAGGCACTTCGACGTCGCACGCAGTAGACCTGAGTTTGATTCCCAAGTGGGGAGTAATTTTTATCAAGTATCTCGGTCTTTCTGCTGGGATATTGTACCCTTTTCAACCTGGGCTGGTCCTGACAGGCAGGGTCAGAAGCTTGTTTCCTAAGTGATGTAAATTGTGTTGACAGAGGTGCAGAATCTCCTTCCTAACTTTTTTAAAAAGCTGTTTTCCCTCTACCGAAAAGCTTTTTCATGGATGGTTCAAGGGTGCTCTGGTTTGGTTTGCTCCTTCTTTCCTATCAAACATCTTTCGTCCTGATCTCTTCTCCTTCTTTTTTGTGTTTGTTACTCTCTTGTAACACCTCTAATCTTCGGCACTTATATGACCTTATTGTGTTGCAAGTGCTGTAAAACTCTTACTTAAACTAAACCAAAAGCTTTTTTTTCAGTTTTCAGTTTGGCTTCTTTTACTCCGTCACTGTCCAGTGTCCATTTATGTGGAACAGATTACCCATGAAACTTACTTTACTTTACTTTTACTTTTACTTTTTCATCCTCTGTTGCCGTTAAGCTTCGAGGGGAGATGCAGTTTTCTATGGTAGGCCAGCTCCGCAGCTCTTTCAGTTGTGATGTTATGTTTTCTTAGGGTTTCCTTGACACCCTCGATCCACCTTTTGCGTGGCCTTCCTCTTCCTTTATAGCCTGAGTGCTTGGTGTTGTAGGTTCTCAAGGGTGGCTGGTCAGGTGACATGCGTAACAGGTGGCCAAACCATTTTATCCTCTGTCTTTCTATGAAACGCAGGCAGGACTCAGTGCCGTCGCTGCTCTTACTTCTTTATTTCTCTGCCTGTCTCGTCTTGTGATGTTAAGGGTTTTGCGCAGACATTTCATTTCGCATGAGGTGATTTTGCTTTCATGGGTTTTGCTTACTTAAGGTCCGGGTCTGGCACTGATAACATAATGTTGGTATGAATGTTGAGGTGATAAGCTGTATCTTTGTGTCCATGGAGATGTTTGGATGAGATAGAAGGGTTGTGAGCTGGTAGGTGACAGCGTTGGCTTTTTGACTCGAGTTCGCATTTCTATTTCTCTGTCTATGGACCCGTTTTCAGAAAAAGTGCTGCCAAGATATTTAAACTCTTTCACCTGTTTCAGTTGTTCACTATTGACATGGATGTTCAGGGGACTATGGTTTCAGCTCACTTTCATAACTTCTGTTTTTGATGTGCTTATTTTCATGTTGAATTTCTCACAGCAGACCCATGAAACTAAGACAAATAAAAACACTTGCTAGTTTCAAAAGACATCTTAAACATTTTCTGTTCCTACAGGCCTATTATCCTTCATAAGCTTTTAACGTTATTTTTCATTATAGTTGTTCTGTTCCTATGTCTGGATGAAAATAGTCTGTGTGTGTGTGTGTGTTCATTAATGTATATTGCATGTGGAGAAAGGAAGTACCGGTAGTAAGAACGGTTTCTGAAAAATGGGTATTCCAATGTAAATTTATAAAGCGCATTGAGCTACTTTTTTGGAAATGCGCTATATAAATGTTATATATTATTATTATATTATTATTACTACAACTCCACCTAGACCATAACTTTTCTGAATTCCCGTAAGCTGTTGCTTCATTATGATAGTGTGTAACCTGTGCTGAAAAGAAAGCATGATGATACACTCGTTGACAAGATGACATGTGCCTTCACCTGGCCACAGACCTCCCACAGGCAACTGAAGTATGCTGCTAAAATCACAGACTTACTTAGATCTACCGCTGAACATTATGAACACATCCTTAGCCTACACTATTGTCCTCGGCTTATACATGATGCAGTTATAGAGAGCTTGCAGACCTACACTCACATGCTGTGCCACAATCTCTCTCTCTCTCTCTCTCTTTCTCTCTCTCTCTTTCTCTCTCTCTCTCTCTCTCTCTCTCTCTCTCTCTCTCTCTCTCTCTCTCTCTCTCTCTCTCTCTCTCTCTCTCTCTCTCTCTCTCTCTCTCTCTCTCTCTCTGTGCTGGACCTCGTGCGAATCACAGACTGGACCTTTTGAACTTTGCTCATTTTGTGGAGTTTTCAAGGCTCTCAATCCATTTGGCATGGTCCAGTCGGAGACGGACATTAAATTTGGAGGCCCTGCCTCTTTCTTATAACCCATTATAGTAGTGTTGGTAGAGGTGTTAAACCCATTTATACACTTACTTTAACCCCCCCCCCTCTCTCTCTCTCTCTCTGTGGGTGGTTGGCGGGTGCTCTGGTGTGGTTTGCTTCTTCTTTCCTATCAAACCTCTATCATCCTTATCTCCCCTTCTTCTTTTTTATGTTTGTTACTCTCTTGTAACACCTCTAATCTTCTGGCGCTCATATGACCTTATGCAGTTGTGAGCGCCGTAAAACCTCTACTAAAACTAAACTCTCTCTCTCTCTCTCTCTCTCTCTCTCTCTCTCTCTCTCTCTCTTTCTCTCTTTCTCTAGAGATCTCTCCTCTCTCTCTCTCTTACTCTTATCAACTACATCAGTAGGCAAAAATTTCAGTGGAGTTGAATTGGATCTACCCTCAATGGTGCCAATTAGCTTTGCTATGCGCAACTTGTTAACACAATTAACAATATGTCACATATTATGTGTGTTTCAAATTCGAAAGATCTATCAGAAAAAATTGGGACCGGAAAATGTATTTACTCTGCGCAAATTTGGCCGTGTATCATGTGCTGGCAGTGCGCTTGGTACACTGTATTGCATTGTAAACAGATGCTTGGTACACGGTAAGTCCCGCCTCCTAAATTATAATCTTAACTGTGTTGATAGGGGCGCAAGACATTTACATTTTACTTTAACCCACAGTAAGAGCACCATCCAAATCTCATGATCTAACCCTCATTCACTGTAGTGTAGTAATGGCATGGGTCTTTGCTGTTGCACGGATGGATGGTTGGTGGGTGCTCTGTCTCTGAGGTGGTTTGCTCCTCCTTTCCTATCAAACCTATCGTTCCTATCTCTCCTTTTTTGTTTTTGTTACTCTCTTGTAAAACCTCTAATCTTCAGCAGACTTAACCATGCTGCCAGTGCCCTTAAACACTTACACTTACATGTACTAAAAAAAACCCAGCTGTTTCACGCAGAAGACTAGTTTTTAGTGAAGTTATCAATCAAGCGCAGGATGAGATTGAGCCTTTAACCTTTTTTATGTCCAATTTCACCCCCTTGCCAAATGCATGCTCTACCTTAAGATTTTTCTGCTTGGGCTTATCATACATGAAAAGAGAAAAACATACAACAATGTGTACAAAATGAGAACAGAAATTTATTGTCATTTAAATTATGATAGATCTGCTGTTAGCATGTCATATTACATGAAACAGTATAGAGATGAAATGAAAATCATGTCAAAAATGCAGTTATTCAATGCTCAATCAACTGAAGACTGGTTGGAATGCAAACTTCATGAACTTCTATGAACTCAGAGGCACTCAAAATGTGATCACCACATTTCAGATGATAAAAAAAAAATTTGTAAAATCAGAAACAATCTCAAAAACATCAATAGAAGAATCATTTTGAGGAAAGTTAGTTGTTTGAGATTACTAGTACAAATCTATATATATGGATTACAAAATAAAAGTCAGCAAGGCAGTGCAAAATCCCAAAATAAAATGCATTGTCAAAAACAAACTATAAGTGAATATCAATATATATTTTATACATATAGATATGTATAACAGATGTAACAAACCTCAACATAGCTTGGAGATAAAAATTTGTTCACTGGTTCTGAATACAAATAGAATCACAAGCACTGCTTTGGAACAAACAGCATTCACTGGTATACTAAGTGCTTTTTACAATAAAAGGTCCACTCTCAACAAATATTGTCAGCTGAGGAGAGCCTGTACCTGTACTGATTATGTCCATTTTGGTCGAAAGCAATTTATTAGAAACATTCAAATGTTATTCCATCGTAATCATCAAATCAAACCTGCCTGGTGATTGACAATTTGCCACAATTGCAATTTCCAATAAGTAGCGTAAACACAGTGCGTTGAATCAAAGTAATTCAGACCGCCGTTTTTTTGCTGTCACCATATCTAATGACAAAAGCTGGACACCGTGAAAAGTTCATCTTTTCCTTATTTTTTTACAATAGTATGTTTTGCTTGTATGTTTTTGTATATTTAAAGCTGGAAAATCGTGGTGGAAAGCGAAACCCCCTCATGGAGAGAATGCAATGTCAGCTTTTTCAAAAATTGACACCCATACATTCCAATGCTTGGCAGAAAGATTGATGGTATTTTAGATGGCAAAGAACTATAAATTAAAGCTTTGAATGGTATATTGTATATTTTTAGTCTTTGGGGTTTAAATAGAAAGTCTTTAAATAAAAATAGCATCAAGTTTTCAAAGACCATTTTATACGTATGAAAATGTAAAATACTCGCTTTAAAAAATGGCACCAAAAGAAACATAAGTTCATTTCCTATTGGAATAAAGTCTCTATGGCTTGGGATTATTTTGCATTGATCCTATCGCGAAACTGATAACATAAAGTACATGAGGGGCTGAGATGCAAAACCCGCTGAATCCATTTTATTACGTTTGAGAAAATCAGCTTTTTTAAATGCTTCTTTCTATACGCACAAACTGATTGCAGAAAGTACAACAGCAAGTGGTAGGGAGCTGGCCTACCAACACAGAAAGCTTGGACAAAAAAAATGTATGATGATTAAAATAAACAATTTGGGCTATGAAAGTGGTAGCGTTTTGTCAAAATCAGCTAGATCTATATCCCCCTCCCCCAAAAAGCTCTTAATGCCTCTAATCACTCTTTTGCTCAGATTACAGCCACAGTATACTTAGTCCTCTCACAACACTTTGCCCTCATAGGTTAAAGGATTTTCTATCTTCTGGCAGAGGGTGAAAGTGAGCTATCTCTTTCAAACATTGTTTTGGGCTGAACAAAACTACTGTTCACACTCATTGACAACCTTTTGAAGAGGAAGTCACATGACAGGATCGGTAAATTTCATTGGCCGATGAAGAACATTTTAAGATGTATCGAGTTTACGAAAATTATGACTTTGGATGTGTCAGGTTGTGCGTAAAAAGATTTTTTGGGCGGGCTTTATGAAGGATGTGTTGGGTTTTGGCCGAAAACACTTTGTGCATCTGAATGCCGGTAACAATGGGTACAGTGGAACTCGGATTTAACGAACTCGGATTCAACGAGAACTCGGATTCAACGAGATGAGACAGATTCCCCATTTTTTTTTCTTCTTTAAAATCAATAAAAGTAACCCGGATTCAACGAGTACTTAAATCAGCGAGCTCGGATTCAACGAGGTCGCTTCCAGAGTGAACAACCTCCGCAGACGTGGCTTCGCTTATTTTTCTCCTAGGACGAAATTTATCCATTTCCAGAAACGATCCATTGCACCTGCACCGTGAACCATTATTCACTTAGCCGATTGCATGCGACCAATCTGCGGCCTTTTAAAATACCAACACGTATGTCGTTGGCACGCGCACGTGTCTACTCTGGCGTGTGTCGGGGTCGGTTGGGCGGCCTGCACACGTGTGGCTGTGTGTGCATGTCGGAGGGAGGGGAGGGGGCACTAGCGGTCCGGGCGTTGAACGTCACATACAAATGCATCACAGTCCTTTTTCCCCTCGGCAACTGATCATTATAACAATAATAAGCTAGTCTTGACATAGATCTAGGTAATGAATTGTGCGCTGGCCTATGGAATCAAAAATTGCCGTGTGCTGGGCTCTACACAGCAACACAACTTTTTGGTAAACAATCGAGATGACACATGCGTGTGTATTCAAACGATTCGGTCTTTTTTTTACACAGCTTAAAATACGCAGGCCTTTCAGGCACAACTTGAGACTTCTCTTGTACATTACTTGCTCAGTGCATGTAATTATCTGCACAAAACCTCGTGTTTGCTATAACGAACACTCGGATTCAACGAGATTTTAGGTCAGGCCCGACGACCTCGTTGAATCCGAGTTCCACTGTATTTATAAGATAAAAAATCTCATTTTTTTCCAAAATGTCGCTCAGCGGATTTTGCACCTCACCCCTTCATATGACTACAGTACAGGAAGAACTCGGCACAAAATGTACACTGCACATGTTTTTATCAAAACAACAAGTCCACACTTTGAGGTAATAAAATACTGATTTGCAATGATCTCACAATCTTGAAAAGAATTAGGCTCCATTCATGTTATTGGGATTGTCCTCTGTTAATGTGTTGATGTTTGGTACGTTTGATAGCTGTCAAACATGGGGTTGCAGCCACTTAGTGAATTTCACAATATTTTGATATGTTATAACAACAGCAGCAGTTGTTTTTTTAATTGACACAGAGGTTTAAAAAAAAAATGGTACCAAAATTCTCAGGAGACATGGAACAGACAAATTTGTCATACAGCTACTTTGAAAATTTAGTTTCTATGTCCTAGTGTTATTTATTACACCTTGTCATAGATATCCATTTCCCTCAATACAAGGAATTGGACATACATATAGTATATATTAGTCGCTTCTAGATCTCAGCTGATCTGTGGAGACATATAAAAAATCCAAAGAAAAGGATTTTTTAAAAAGCTTGTAAATGTATTCTTTTTAAAATTAAATAATTGTTGTCTTCCATGACGTCAAAATTTCTGGAGATCCTCCCCTTTTCAATATTTGCTCCACTGTGAAATTGCATCATACTCATACAAGCCCAGCATCCTTAGCCATTCCATAGAAAATAGAAGATTTATTGTCCAGCAAAGCTTTGGGAGAGTCAAACTCACTCACTCGACCCTTGTCCAGAACCAAAATTCTGAAAAGAAACAGAAGAAAGATGATGATGCAACAAAGACATTGGGTTTTTTTAAAGAGTAGAAATAAAAATCATATATTATATATACAGTGGAGTCCACTTATAACGAGTCCTGAAATAACGAGAAGTTTGTTATTAAGACACTATTCTAAAACCCTGTTTTTTCCCTTCTTTATCTTTGTAAATAAAATACTGCTATAGTGCAATCACATAAACGCGCGAGTCGGTTATAGCGGAATATTGCTGCTGCTGTGCACAGCGCATAGGCCACTGAAGCATGAAAATCTTGCCAGTTGAGAAACTTGTTGGTTATCAAGCGAAATAAAAAATGGGAGAGCCGGCCATGGGTGCCAACAATGAAGGCCGAAGCGAATGAGTTGAGAGATTGTGGCATGTGCAGACAAGCCGTTGTGAAGCAGAACGCATTGCCTGATAGTGATAGGCCAGCCTTGTCTAGATTATAGTGGAAACCTGATATAACAGAGATGGTGGGAGTAGAGAAAAAGTCCTGTTATATCCGATCCCTGTTAAATCCGAAATGCAAGGAAAGTGAGCTTTTGTGGACTAATCTAGCTGTACTTATTCACAAACATGGGTTTTGGCACCGACTTTCTCCTTGCGTCCTTAAACCACATCAGAGAGCTTGGGTCCACAGCATCTGCATCAGGTAGTCTCATCTTCTTTCTATCAAGAGCAAACTTTTCATTGGAGTATGCTGCCACTGTCTTCTCTCTATCCTTGATAATGGCAGGAATCGACCCTTGTGGAATGCCGAACTGACGACAAATCTCTGCCAGTGGAGCTTGCTTTTTGTCAACAGTCTGGATTATTTCGTATTTTTTGTAAATTGAAAGACATTTTCTCTTGCGCTTGACATCATTGGTGACCATAATGAAAGAAGTAGGCTTAGATCTAGGCTGACCGATCGGTCTCTCTCTCTCTCTCTCTCTCTCTCTTTTTACACTTTGTTAACGAGCCTTTGTCCCTGATTTCAATTTTTGATCAAATAAGACCTAGAGGTCATGTTGAACAAAGCAATCATCAGAGAAGATAACAAAAAGAAATAAACAGAACACTTAACTCATAGATTAAGCTTACTTTATTATTTCCTTTGAATTTATTACTGGATCCCTAACAACGAAAATCCTGCTATAACGGACATTTCATACCGGTCCCCTCCCTCTCGTTATAACAGGATTCCATTGTATATATATACGTGGATATAATTATTATCATCTTAAGTGTAGTTTACACTTACCTTACAGCCAGTTCAAGATTCTTTTTTTTCCTAAATGTCATTACAGGCAAAGTCATCATAATGTATCATTATCATGATCCTATCCAATCTATTGCTTGCTCAATTGAATATTCTTTTACCTTTTGTCTATGGTAATAAAAAGGTCAGTCCTGCAATCTGTTAGTTGCTATAGTTCACAGTAGTCGTGTGACAACATCAGCTACAAATCTTATTTTAAAACAGATTAGCCTTTTATGTTCAACCTTTTCCTCCCATCCTTACCATAAACAATACCCTATACTACAGCAAAGAACAAGAAGAACAACATTTACTGACCTACTACTAGATTAACAACAACAACAGCATAATATTCAACTTACTTGTCATAGTCCACGATGGTGTTGAGCCGATGTGCAATTGTGAGCACTGTGCACTCACTGAACTCTGTTCTGATTGTCTTCTGAATGAGTTCGTCTGTCTCCATGTCGACTGCCGCTGTGGCCTCATCCAGAATCAAGATCTGTGTCTTCCTCACCAGTGTCCTGGCCAGGCACACCAACTGCCTTTGGCCAACACTGGGAAGTGAGAGAGGAGACAAAAGTGAGTAAATTACACATTAACTAAATATGGATAAACAGAAAAAAATGCTTTACATCACGTAGGCACGATTGCTTAGAGGCATAAGTCATTTTTAGCAGCTTTTAAGATATATCTGTATCAGTATGCAGTACTGCCAGAGACACTCTTTTCATCATTGCTCTTGATATAAGTGTAAGCTTCTGAACCTTTTCATTTTATTATGTCATAAAGAAGCCTCAAAGAGTTATTTTCCTGTCGCTGTTTGGTCATCAGAAGACTTCATAATAATAATCCAAGCCTCGTGGCTTCATTTGCAAGATAGATGCATTTCATCAGAAGTGGGTCACCATTGACCCAAAGTTATCATGCCTGCTGCTATGATTTTTATACATTTTTTCTTAGCTTGTTCAGATATAGGCCTTGATGTGTAACATATCAATTTTCTTTTTATCCAGCTTCAAAACGTGTCTAACTTCAGAATTGGTCAATAGACAACCAGCAAACTATGATGCTCTGTTTAGGCGTAGCTGGATAGAACACTAATTTCTGTATAAAAGAAAACCTTCTTAAAAACAGCGCGTGACTGCTTGTCAAGCAAGGGATGGTTCTACGTTCTATGTTGATAAAACAGCCATATACATAAAAACCAACTGCACTGTGAGATAAAGATCACACAATTTGTTACCCCTGAGTTCTAGCAAGGGCACAAGAAAGAGATGATGAATTTTCCAATCAAGAAATAGAGTCCAATACATATCTTGAAATCTCCTTTTTGACCTACAAAAGGCCTACAAAAGACAACTAAGAAGAAAAAAAAGAACAAAATTAATAGCTAACCTCTACCCCACAAAACTTTCTCACTCACCTTAAGTTCTGTCCACTCTCGCCACATTCATAGTTAAGGCCTGTAGGCAAGGTCTCCACAAAAGACTTGAGATGAGCATTCTCTAGAGCCGACCACAACGTGGCATCCGAGAACTCGTCAAACGGGTCCAGATTCATTCGGAGAGTGCCAGAGAATATGACAGGGTCCTTTTAACAAATGACATGATTTAGAGTATGGTAAGGTCAATATAAAATAAAGTCTTGAAGGCTGATCACAAGATAAAAAATCTATCAAATTCAAAAGTCATGCAGTGTTTGAGAACTTTTGCAGAATTTTGATGACAAACAAATTCACTGCTCATGCATTTTACAGAATATGTTCTCTTCAAATGAGTCACACTGTTTGCATTCCTTAAAGGTGTGTACATTCTTTAGTGTCCTACCATCAAAAGAACTTGAATTTCTTTTTGAAAAACTAATCCTCGAAGTACAGTGGGGAAAAAATTTGAGGGGCGATCGGACAGCTGGAGATCTTCAGAAGAAGAATTCCCTTCAAGCTAGTGTTTCATCCCTGATTACCAGACATTCTAAGACGGCCTGGTCACACTCCAGTCAGAAGTACATGATAATACCACAACATTTGCCATTTACACATCAATGGAGGCAGTACCTGTGTTGTAAAGATTCAGGCCCTTTGCTGTGCATGCTAGAGACCCAAATTTGATTCCTAAGTAGGAAGAAGTTTTTAAGGCCAAATTTTTATTGAGTATCTTGGTTTTTCTGCTGAATGTTGTACTTCTTTCAGTGACAGGCAGGGTTGGTAGCCCGCTTCCTAAATTATATCTAAATTGTGTCAATGGGGACATAAAAACATCCGCCTTCATTTTCTTTTAAATCCTCAAAGGGGGTAATATAATATTACTCTATTTGGTTTCATCTTGTCTATTCTTCCCTCACTTAGTTAATGCAGTTGTATATGATTTCAAACAATTTCAAAATATTTTAAAAAGCTTAGAGAACAAAAAGACATAGGCCAAGGCTATTATAAATGAGTTTGTCTAGTTTGTGATAAAACGGGTAGAATTTATAAAAATAATGGCTCGTGCTCTTCATCAAAACAACCCTTGGAATAATGTACTTTACACCTGCTTCAACTCTAGTACTCTTTACAGCTGTGACAGAGAACTGATACACTCTCCTGCATTCATCGACTTTTTTAAACAACCCTGTCAGGCTCTTTGTTCGCATTTTATCCAAACAAAACTCAATTTTAATTGTTAAAATATTTAAAAAGTAAGTATAGAACAGACACATTAAGTTTTTAAATATCCTCTGGGAAAGAATAGAAATGCTACCATTAAGAAAATAAAAATACTCAAACATTGTCACCCTCTTCCTTTATAAAAAGCACATGAGCTTAGTCTTGCTTTCCATTAGTGAAGTAATCACATTGTTCATATGAAACTGAAATGCTTAAATTTTAAATCTCACATACACAAACATTGCATGTGATCTTCAAAGCTCTCATTCTCACCTGAGGCAAAATTGTCAGCTTAGAGCGCAAGTCATGTAGACCAATTTCAGAGATGTTGATGTTGTCAATTGTGATACTTCCCGCAGCCGACTCAATCAGCCGGAACAAAGCAACAGTCAGGGAAGACTTTCCTGCTCCGGTCCTTCCAACAATGCCAACCTAGAGGAAGAATAAAGAGAAATTTTTATTCTATAAAAAAGCGTGGGTCAAAAATTCCAAAAAACTTAATGTGATTACCATAACAGAGAGAGGTTACATAGCATTGTAATGTTTTGTATAATAGGTAAAATAATTTGTCTTTGTTATTCCGCTTATGCGCGAATCATTTCTTAAAATTTTGAGATAATTAAAAGAATAAGAGGAAGCCAAAATTAGAACCATGACTTACTTTTCATTTAAAAACTAAGATGAAAATAACGAAACAAAACTGTATTGAATGTATTAAAAGATGTTCCTTGATGTCTTTAATTGAATGATAGTGGAATGATGCAATGGTATTTTATTACAGCAACATGAAGCATATTTTTTACCAATAAACTAATAACAAACATCAAAATCAGAATAAAACTTGAAAGCAATAATAACTGCCAAAATAAATGATAAGCGCACTAAAAGAATTTTTAACAAAACAAAAGTGTAAAAGCACAAAGAAGGCTATCCATGGGGTAAAAATAAAAACACAAAAAAAATACTTTAACACTTAACAGCAAACAAAATGAAGGTCCCCAAAAGTCAACCCAAATCAACATTCAGGCCTACCCCCCCAAAAAAGTGTTTGCTAAACACTACTGAAACAAACAAGAAACATTTGTCAACATTAATATTGTGACAGAATATTATTGCTCAACCTCAAACCATGGACTCAGATTTGTAAAGACCAATACATAAATAGACAAAAAGATAGAGTTCTCTTTGATGTACCCTGCTTTGCAGTGCAAGTAATACAAAAGTGATGACATACACTTATCTAGTACCCCACCTTTTCTTTTCCTTGGATTCTACAAGAAACACCTTTCAGCACAAGTTCCAAGCCTGGCCGGTATCTGGTCTGGTAATTATTGAAACTGACATCTCCACGCTGAGGCCATTGTGAGTCTGGTCGGTTATATGGGATGACCCATGCATTCTGACAGACGAAAAATACAAGATTCTTTAGTAAGAATTTCAAAGTATACATGAAATGAACTATAAAGAAAAAGGAAAATTTGTTTTTTAAGTTTAGTTTCTTTGACTGTTTTGGATGTAAATGCAACTCCAAAATTAAATAATGAAAAAATAAAAAGCAACATTTCCTTTGTCTGTTTAACACACACAAAAAAACAACTTTTAACTTATGTATGCAGTCTCTGCGTAAAAGTGCCCCTCCATTACTAGCTTTTTGTTTGCTGATTTAGATTTCTTTTTTTTTGGCTTAACTTTTTTATCTGATTCTTAAAGTAACAAAAATCCAGCAAAGTTATATTGGCTAAGGCCTACCATTTTCTGTTATTCAACTTTGCTTGGAAGATTGAGATATGTGTGTCAACTACCAAACTCTGAGAAAAAAAGAGGATTAAGAATAAAGAAATTCACTCACCTCCGTTGGTGTCTCTGCATATTCTTTGAGTCTCTCCACTGACACAATATTGGTCTCCAGTTCACTGAACATGCGGACCAGGTAATTCAAGGCACCCGTCACCTATCCCAGTCAACAAGGTATAAGATGTTAACAGAAACAATAGGAAAGATTTCCTAGTACAGTTTTAAGCACGTACTGTACATTACAAGTTTAAGCACAAATTACTCTTGGAGATTAGTAGTGAAATCTCCAACACAGCCCTAAAATGATAAACACAAACTAAATCAATTTGCAGTGGTACGGGAAAACAGAACCAGGATACATATATATATACATATAATATACAATATAACATTTTTTGGCTAATGAAGTCACTTCTATGTCCATACCCTTAATTTGACCTAGTATAAAAAGTTTTTCTAGTAGGTTGAATTTTTTAAAAGATTTTTTGTTCAGTTTGAGCATAAAAGTTGTTATCGATCCAGCCTGAGCATAGAAAAGGTACGGAAGTTTTTCACATGTGATTTTCATATTCTTCTTTCAGAGAGCAAAGTGTCTTTGCAGACATACGTAAAATACCTTCGGAACTGTCTAAGACAGAGACCCATTGTAGAGGGGTATATAGTGGTCATCTCAGACAGGTGCCTGTCTCCCAGTCTTTATAATGTAAAAGATACACAAGGGAGGAAAAGAGAAATGAACCTTTGTGCTGGTGATTGTTCTACACAGGAGGCCTTTGTAGCAAGTTCAACTGTATATATTTATTTATTATTTTTACTAAAGAATAAAATTAGAACCACACATCACTAACCTGTGTGGAGTACGAGACAGAAAGGCCTACAAGCCCAGGCTCCAAGTCTGTAGAGAGCACAGCAAAGAGAGCCGCTGACAGGATAATGAGGTTCCCAATACATTCTAAACTCCAGCCTAACCATCTGAAAGTAAAAAAACAAAACTCATGAAGGCAATAGCCGTACATGCACAAACTTTTCCAGATGCTCATAAAAGCAATGCCTGTATAATGTTTACATGAAGCTCATATTCTCATAAAGGTAATATGTATACAATGCTTACCTGATGCTTATACTTATATAAAGATAGGTTATATTGCACAACATAGCTGAGGCTCATAAAGGCAAAATGTTTACATGTAATATTTGCCTGAAGTTCGCTGACGCTCATAAAGGCATTTCCTGTGCAATGCTTCGTTTAATCTCATACAGGCAGTGCAATCCAATATTTAAGTGTGACTTATAAAGATAATACCTCTGTACAGGTTTCAGCAGAAGCTCATAAAGAAATCTGTTACAATATTTTAACTAACAAAAGCCTACTTCATAAAACTAAGGCTAAAAAAAAGCAATACCTGTTTGAAGCGAGACTTGCAAAGTAGAATGACAAATTGTGGTCCACTCTGTTCCGAGATTCCATCACAAATCTTTCAGAAGCGCCGTACGCCCTGATGGAAGCTGCCCCACCCACAGTCTCAGAGAAATGAACGTAGATGGGAGACCGGGTTGTGGATTCAATTCTCTTCAGTTGTCGGGAAGTGGGGATGTAGAACCTCTGTGGAAATGTATTTGATTTTGTAAATTTTTTGTTTCAAGATGACACAGCAGTACAATGTGTTACTATATGAATGACAAAGTATTTGTTACAATACGTCAAAGAGATGAGAAAATTTTAAGTGTTTGTAAGCATACTTACTTAACTACAGTCTAGCCCGCACAGAGCAGAATCAGCAGGACGCAAAAATCTTCTCATTGTGTATGAGTTTCACTGTGCACATGTTTTAAATACCAAGAATATGTTATATATAAAAGTACAAGAAAACATTGAGGACCTGAAAATCTGTTCAAAAAGTGTGTTTTTCACAATGTGCATGTTAGTTATGCGCATGCTAGTTGCTAGGCTGTATCAGTAACGCTGTCCCCGTGGTTTTATGCACCCCGCATAATTTAGCAAAATTTTATCATTTTTTGGGCATTATTTCTGATTATTTTCCTACTATTCTTTGTTAAAATTAACAATCGCATAATTTCACATTTTTGGGCTCTGTTTGCATAATTTCAGATTTTTTTTTGTGCATAAAACGACGGGGACAGCAGTAACGGAAAGAAAAAAAAATTCTAAAACAAAAAAATAAATAAATAAGTGAAGATACTAACTTGTTTAAAGTCAAATTAAAACAAAAGCATCTGTAATACATTGTTAAACACTTTATACATTCTTTAGAGAATCGTACAATACAAATATACAGTATACTTTTAATGATTACATAAACACACTATGCACATTTAAAGACATATATATACCTACAGGGATTCTGAAAAGAAAACTAACCTGAATCATCCAGTACATGATCCCAAGAGGAACAACAACTGCCAGAAATATTGGAGTACTGTATGAAATTGTCACAATTGTGCCTGTCACGCTGAATATGCAGTTGTAAAAGGACCTGATGCTCGAAGGTAAGTTGTTGTCAATTGTTTCAACATCCCGAGAAAATCTGTTGAGGATCCGGCCAATGGGTGTGGTATCGTAGAAGGACATGGGTGCCTTGAGAATGTTGTCTAAGAGGGCCAGGTGTAGTTTTCCAGCTGCCTTGACCATACGAGTTGAGGCAATCAAAGCAAATGTCAACACAAATATACCTGGGAGACAGAAAAAATAATATACTGTAAGCTTTTAACAGATTAGATCCAGTCAGGATAATTCAACCCTTGGAGATGAGTCTCATCTACTGAAAAAGTACAAACATGACTCTAGTTTTGGACAGGTACTTACCTCTCCCAGCCGATTAAAGTCTCTGTCTAAAAACTTACTTATTCTCTTTTCTGCTCACAAAAAATCCAGTAGTCAACTTCTATCATAAGTATGAGTTGCATCTATTCATAGAGATCTAATTTATTTATTTTTTTGGGGTGGGGGGGAGGGGTGGTCCATTTTGGTGAATATAGATCTGTAGGTACAAATATAGAAAAGAAAAGCATTAAAAATATCTTAATAAAATTATATTAGTTGTTATTCCAGTGAGAAGAAACCCGATGGATAATGATAGTCAACCAAAATCTGCAAACTGTTTACTCAAATATGCAACCACAATAACCCCATCCACATCTCCCACGCTCACTTTGTGCAACACCCAGGATCCCATATACAGCCAGGTACATGTTGTTCCTGTCTATGAACTCTGAGGTACCACTGGCTGAGCTGTTTGCCAGCAGTTCATCATCCGTCCATTCACTTAGCCACAGTGCACTGCCCGTGTTGGAGGCTTGGAAGAACAGGTAGGTCAAGGTCATGATCACAAAGGTCAACACGCCCACTGCTTTGACGTACTCGAAGTACACATTCATCGAGACCTGAGTAAAAATGGGATTCAAAATAGTTTTTGCATTTTGAAGTCAGTTATATTTATGCAGCAGATATATTTTTATTACGCTGTTTATACATAAATGATTGACTAATAGCATACTACATATCACGACCTCAGTGCTTTCTTGTCCTATCTCCATTTTTTTTAAACATTGAAAATGTGACTTCTTGTTAAGCTCACTCTTTGTTATGAACAGTTTTCACAGTTATTAAAAATGGAGAAAGAACAAGAAAGCACTGAGGTCATGATATAACTCATATGTCTAGTATGAGAGTTCCTTTCCTTTGTTCTCATTAACAAATTTCTTGATATGGTCAACATAAAGTGTAAAATGAAAAATTTCAACTGATCTGTAATGTTGGGTGATATCTTATTCAAAACAATTCACAACAAAAGGCTACAGGACTTCAACAACACACTGGAAAAGCAGTAACAATAGGCACACAAGATGCAATTCAGTGTAGCCTGTTTTCTCTTAAAATCATGATACCACAATGTTTAGCATGTAATAAAGGTTAATCATCTCATGCACTATTTTCATACCTTAAAAAGTCCAAAAGCTAAATGTCAGTCCAAGATGAAATATTCATGAAGTGAATGAGTGATATCAACTCAAAACTACAAAGAACCACATTGGCTGCACATGAAAGGTCATGTGATGCAAATGGCAAAAGCTGAAGAATAATATTCTTCTGAAAATGCATTAGCATGTAATTATCCTCTCATTCATTCATCAGGGAATTTCATCTATGACAAGTCGCATTCATCAGGGAATTTCATCTATGACAAGTCGAGACTAATGAACACTTAAGATCCAAGAATGATTTACATCAATCTCAGAAATAAACTACCACAAACCAATCACTAGCAATGATAAGATAATAAATTTCAAATCACTACCTTAGAATAATTACAATGTTCTATCGGCTCAGTACCTAGTTTTAAGGAAATTTGACGTCAAACATTTTGCGTTTCACAATGTGTCAATCAGTTCTTTGAACATCTTGATAACAACTCCGAATAATCTTATGATTTTGATAGAGCAGATTGAAGATTTGGTTAATGACCTCTCGGTCTAGTAACTCAAAATGGCCAAAAATATCAGATAGCAAAATGCCTCAATCGACACAATTTCAAGACCCTGCCAGTCAGGATTCCTGGCTGCCTGGAATACAATATCCCAAAAGACAAGTAAAGACAATTGCCAAAAACAACTTCGTTACATTTTCTGCATGTAATGGCAACAAGCCTGATCACTGCACCACATACACCAGTTCATTGTCATTTCCTTTGGTAAAGGCAGCAACATTATATATACTAAATGACACGAAGACAGAAGGACAACTCATATTCAGCTAAAAACGATGAAAGTATGTCTTACATTGCCAGTCTCAGACTTTTCTTCTTCTATCAACTTCTGTCCAGCTTTAGGGGCTTCTTTCTTTTTCTCCACACTTTTCCCCAAGGACCGTCGATAGGATGCTTGGCGACTGGTGTTAGCTCCACTCTCACTGTCACTGTGACGCTTGGATTTGCTGAACACAGATATAATAAAATATAATAATAAACAGCACTTGTATAGCGACTATCCCAGCTCAACAGCAAGCTCAAGGCGCTTTACACTATATTATTACCTCAGCAGAGAATGGAACACTCAGAAACATTCTCAGTATCCCAGGAAGCATGCAGTGCAAGCAGCTGATTAAGCGTCCAAAGACTAACAAACTGCGCATGACAAGATCTTTCACAGTTTATAGCTGGGTACCCATTCCCCCGCGGATGAAATGAGGAAAATTTGAGTAAAGTGCCTTTCCCAAGGACACAACGTCGGGCCCCTGATGGGATTCTAACCCACGACCTTATGGCTGCGAGTCTAAGAGCCTAACCTCTTGGCCACCAACGCCACACGATAAAATACACACCTCCTTAATAAAAGTATTTAATGTACAGCAATAGATCTACAATGTCAGAGCAAGAATTTTGATACAAAAACCGTCTCTTTCTTTCAAATTTCTAGAAAACAAAACTCAAATTCAATTGAAATGATCTTCTTCAAGTTAGTGTCCTTATAGAACAATAGTACCACTACAATCCCTTTTCTTAACTAACATTGACATTTTGCAGTCACTTGGCGCAATAATGTGCTGGTGAAAATTAACCGTCCGGCCACATGGCGCAGTTCTGCACCAGGCAGAGAAGTCTATTGCAGTCACTCTCCTGGCTGGGTGACCAGATGGGGTATTTTGTACCGCTTGCTGTGTGACTGCGAAGTGTTAAAGATTGAGGGAGGTGGGGGTGGGGGAGGGGCAACAGCACCAGAACATCAAGATTTCCATTGTATCACCAGTCATATATTACGGATATAATGAAATATCAGACCTTCTCTATTCACATATATTTGAATTTGATAGATCTCACAAACTCTGCTACCAGATGTCAGTTGCTTTTCTCAAAAATATTTTGACTCATCCATTGAGGTAAAAGTATATGGGCCAGCAAAATTTAACTTTGCATCATAGTATCCCAATATCAAATTATTCGTTTCTGTTAACCCTTTTTCCTTTACCTCTTTCTCTCATCTGCTGATGTTGCTCCATCTGATGTCACTGACTCAAGCCTTTGGAACACTTCTGCTTTCATTCTCTCAACTGTGAAGAGAAAAGGATGTAAAAAAACATTTTGATGAACTAGTCATTAATGAAAAAACAAAATAATAAATTAGGCCTACTACTTTTCCTTTGACTTGGAAAAAAAACTCAACCCTTTATTCTTTTAATTTGTTCTTTCTTTTATTCGTGGAAGCTGTAGTACTTTGCATAATAACATGCATAATCTTCACTCTGTGAATGTGAAAAATCTAATTCCCGCACCTACTTTGATCTACAGGATTTTGTTATTGCTAATTTTGAACTTGTATTTGGTGCATTCTAAATTGTTGTAAAATTTAAGAAATTTTAGTCACCAAGTTCAGAACTTGAATTAGCTTTTGTAGTAGAAGAATGGCATCAATTAAACACATGAGCAAATTAGGAGCACAAAGAATTAAGCCAAAATGATTCTCACCAAATCATTGTCCTCTACTGGATTCCTATCCTAGTGGGATATAATTATAATATCAATACAAGGGGCACTGATTTAAAGTAAATATTGTTTCTGCTAATGAAAAGATAAGCACCAGATTATATGGTAAATGTTACTAGATAATAAATAATTATGATATAGTGAATTTCGTTATCAGTATATTTCAACTTCACTGGCTTGTTCAACTACTGCAGACATAAAATTATGAATCTCACTCTCTGGGTCTTCCTCTTCTCCTTCATCTGAATCCGAGTCGGCATGATGTTCTTTGATGAAAAATTCTTGCAGGAAATTGGCAAAAGCTCCTGCGTGAGACATGAGTTCGTCATAAGATCCTTCCTCCGAGACTTGACCGTTGTTCATGACAATGATGTGATCCACCATGGGTAGCCAATGAATTCCATGAGTGACCAAGATTCTTGTCTGAGTTCAAGGAAATCACCATGAACACAGAAAAAGAAAAAAAAAACGTGTGGATAAAAAATGCATAAACACAGACATATTTCCACAACATACAATGTGAGAACATTAGTTTTACACAAGCAACGTTGAGGGCAATTTGAGATACACACTGGGCAAGACTATTCAAAAAGAGAAGGATACATTATATTCTTTTCCCATACACCTCCATTCTCTATTGCTCATGGCTTTTAATAACTATGGCCATACCCAGTCATTTTTTATTTTATTTTAACAATTACAAAGTTAAAAGGTAGATTACTCAAATGTCTTACATTCAACATTGCTGCCAACCAAACCATAAATCAGAATGCTCTATGAAATTATCTTTTTACTATCTTTGGAAATTTTGTCATCTTCAAAAGATTAGCCACTTGTATGAGTTTCAGTACAGAGAACTGCAATTGTAGATAATTACATCTCCATCAACACCCTTAAGATCATTTAGGAGGTGGGATGCTTTAACCCTGCATGTTAGGGCCAACTCAAGCTCAGATAGATAGAGCATCACAACAGGAAGACGGAGACGTTTGATAAAAATTCTCCCAACACAGGAATTAAACTCACGTCTTCCACTACACCACAGACACTGGTGTTTTCAGTATTCTTAAAAGAACTAGGCAAATGAGAAACACTAGTTTGTTCATTAAAGATAGTAGAAGAGATGGCTAAAGATTACACAAAAAACAAAACAAAATCTTCATTGGAGATGTATTTCCCCAAATGAGAAACACTAGTCTGTTCATAAAACACAGTACAGAAAGAGATCGACAAGAGATTTAATAGAAAATATACAAGATATCAACCTTGCTTTCTTCCCAACCCCTTCATTGAAGATGTGAGTTTCCCCAGATGAGAAACACTAGTTTGTTCGTAAAAGGCAACAGAAGAGATGGCTAGAGATCTAACAGAAAATATACAAAATATCAACCTTGTTTTGCAGAATTCCTTTCTTCCCAACAACTTCATTGCAGATATATGTTTCTCTACATGAGAAACACTAATTTGTTCATAAAAGTACAGAGGAAGAGATGAGATGGCTAGAGATTTAGCAGAAAATATACAAAATATCAACCTTGTTTTGTAAAATTCCTTTCTTCCCAACGACTTCATTAAAGATGTGTTTCCCCACGTGGGAGTCCACAGCACTGAGAGGGTCGTCCAAGAGGTACGTGTCTGCGCCACTGTAGACAGCTCGGGCCAAGGACACTCTCTGCTTCTGACCTCCGGACAAGTTGATGCCCTGGTGGTGGAAAAATTAAATATTACAGCATGAGGCTGTGAGATAATTTTCTACCATTTCTATTTTTTTACATTCTGATTTTTTTAAAAGAAAAAGGTTCTTAGTAATAACAGTTAGCTCTATCGGTACTTCTGTTATTAATACTTATTGTTTGTCTGCTTGTTTATTTGTGTGCCTGTTTGACTGTTTGTTTGTCTATTAGTTTGAGTAAAGCAAAGTACATCAACAAAATAAGGGTCATTTAATGCAAGGAAAAGGCAAGACAGACAGTCTCAATAAATTGTCTAAGATGGCCACTCAATGTCAATAGGAAAAAGGGTAATCTTTGACAGATGGCAATCTTACACAGTGTCATTATAATGTAAGAAAAAAACCACAAGAGAGTAAACGGGAAGTGGCTGTTTGTACAGGCGATTGTTTACAGGTGGGAGTTAGAGCAGGTTTGACTGCACATTGTTAGATGCCCCTTTGATCTCTTTTTTCAGGTGACAGTTTTATCTGGAAACTCCCAGAAACTAATTTGGGCTTCCACTGATTGCGGAATGACACTGAAACAATGAAATATATATGTATACTAAAAATACTGAAAACAGTAACCTCCAAAATCAAAGCCTTACTTTTTCTCCAATCTCAGTTGAATCTCCTCCAGGCAAAATTTCCAGGTCAGGCTGGAGAGCGCAAGCGTTAATGATATTCTTGTACTGACTGGAAGAATGTTCTTTTCCAAATAGAATATTGTCTTTCAAAGTCGCATTCTGGATCCACGCTTCTTGGGGCACATAGGCAATGCTGTTCTGAAAATGTGATAAACAAGGTTATTGCAGTGTGAACTTAAAAGGGCATGATGATTTGACATCAGCCCGAAAACAAATTTCTTGTTGATTTGTTCAGCTTCCATTGAAGATAAAATGTCTTCAGTCAAAGAAATATGACTGTCCCATTGAAAAGCCCGTTTTGTTTCTTTTTATGTTTTTTATACAGTAAGTGTTTTAACACCCACATCAAGCCTACAATTTAGATCATTTGGAAGAGGGCTTCCAATCCCACCTGTCAGGACCAACCTGAGTTGAGAGATATACAACATCTTTACAGAAAGACTCAGATACTCAATAAAAAATTCTCCCTGCTCGGGAATCATTCTTAGTGCCGAAATGCTACACCACAGACACCAATGATAAGCCTGTATTTTATTCAATAATACAAATATGTTCAAAACCATTATCCATTCCAAATCACTATAATTTGTTTACCACAGTGTTGGATCTGCAACAGAGTAACCAATACAGTGACAAAGCAACTGAAAAACAACAAAAAGAAATAGTCAGCTGATGTTTCTAACTTTAAATGTTTCCCTTCAGCTCCATGCTCTGTCCACCAAGGACCAAAAGCGCCACCTTTTTAACAATCTCTTCTATATCTAGAGAAGCGTTTATCTTTAATTACTCTTCAAGTACTGGTCCCTTGAACCTGGGCAACTCATGCACCTGAGCACTTTTGGCTTGTCTGCCAGATCTGCACCACATGTTAAGGTATGTATTAAAGATCAAAAAGGTAAAGGTAGAACATACTCAATCGTGTACCCAATGTAAGCAGAATTTAACGCCCATATCAACACTATTATGTCCTCTATCTCTTCCACTATCAGGGAGTTTTCCTCACTTGTGACCTACTTTCTTATTCTGCCTACACTCAGACAAATTAAAAAGATTTTTTGTTCAATTTTCAAAATAAGCCACATTTTATGTTGTAAATAAAAATAAAGGGGAAATAATGACCTATCTTAACAGATTGCTCAAATATGATCATTCTTCAGCCTGAGATTTCAGTTTTGATTATTACAAAAGTAGGATAATAGGACTGGTTTTGAAGCAGAAAGGAGAAAGTATTGGGAGTAGCATGAGCCATGAAACACGTCTATAAGTAGTGAAAGAATTAAGAGGTGAGAATCTGCTCAGGTCCATAGGATCAACAAAAACAAACAAAACACCCATTGATTACCTTAATAGTGACCCTTCCTTCCATTTTTCTCATTTCTCCTAGCATGGCAGACAGCAAAGAGGATTTCCCGGAGCCAACGGTTCCAACCACAGCAACCAGCTGACCCTCAGGCACACGGATGTTGATTCTGCAAGGAAACATTGTACATGTAATTGCATGTGTTTTACACCCTTATCACCACAATCTGTGATGCGCGCTGACAAATGAGTTAATTCTCTGATTTTAGCACTGTGGGAATAGATACGTCAATTTTGTAGATTGAGTTTGTGCAATTCGCTAGTATGAAATTATAAAATAACCGTTAAACTTGAAGAAAATGGCATTAGTCAAAAATCTACAAATTTGACAACGGAGTTGATTTTCAGCTCATATCTCTATTCACGATATGCGAGAAATCTCTCATTTTGTCAGCACACCTCACATTAAGATAATTTAGGAAGTGAGTTGTTTTGACCCTGTATGTCAGAACTAACCTAGTTTGAGTGGGATACAACACCCTAGCAGACTACTGGGAAAAACAAACACTTGTGAGGCGTGCTGACAAAATGAGTTACTTCTCAGATTTTAACCTACACAATAGAGTCATCAAATTTATAGGTTGAGTTTTTACAATTCATTAGTATGAAATGATAAAGCCATATTAAACTTAAAAGAAAGTGGCATCAGTTGAAAATCTACAAATTTGACTCATCTGTCAATTTTTGGATCTCCATTCACAAATTAATTGTAAGAAGAATCTCATTTTGTTACTCACCTCACATTTCTTAGTTTTAGTGTTTCTTTTTTAAAAATCTCTTTTAAACAAAAGTTCAAAGCGGATAGGTGAGGCATGTGTTCAGTGCAAAAAAGTAGGTTCATTTAATTAAGAGTTAAAATTTCCAAATGGCCTGTTTTACACACACAATAGATCAAAGCAAAGTTGAAGTTACTTTATTTATCTCTTCTGTCTTTGGTTGGGATATTTTGATATAAGCTTGGTTTGGCGAATTTGAAACTACACCAGATATCTTTAAAAAAGTATTATTATATTATATTTGAATGTACAAATATTTCATTACAAATGGTGAAATCATTACCGTACTTTCTGAGAGTTGGTAATGGCATGCTCATATCCCAGGTGAATGTTCCATTTTCAACCTTTACCGCAGCATCTGAAGAAACAAAGAAGGAAATTTTAAAAACCAATTTAGAATAGAAGTTAAACTTCTTGCTCTTTTTTACTTTCAAAGCATCAACTGAAGAGACTGGTTTGAAGTATATTCACATGACAGCATTAATTTATTAACTAAGGGAAACAGCAAGAGAGATAGGCAGAAATAACAGAAGGAAAGTAGCAGTGGGGTGTTCTAGCCACCCACCATCTGAAGAGAAGACGAATAAGATAATAGATAGCATTTGTAGAGCACGAATTCTCACTCAACAGCAATCTCTATGTGCTTTACAATCAGTATTATTACCCCAGCAGACTTGATAGCACTCTGAAACAATCTCAACTTCCTGAAAAGCACACAGTGCAAGCTGCCATTTTTGTAGGAACTAGAACACTAAAATACTGACAAGTTTGGAGAATGAAAGTTTTCTTTCTTCATATTACTCCTTTGATGATGATACTGCTTTAGGGCACATGAGGTGGTTCATACACTCTTCAGTGACTTGAGGATGCAACACAGAAAACTTTTTTACTATAAGAGGTAGGAAATACGCACACTTCATGTCTATTACTTTTAACTTGTTTATCCATAATATAACATCAGTTGCGATAAACCATCTTTGAAATCAGTTTACCATTCCAGTTTTGAAGGCAGTCCCTTCAATAAAAAATTTTTAAAAACCCAAATTTTTGGAGCTTTATGCGAAGTCATGACAAAGTTGTCGGGAACTTTGATGACAGAACGTGAACTAAAGTCAACACATAGAAAGATAAAAGTAGTAAATTCTAGTTGGTCATGTCTTTGTGCAACATAACAATTACTGTGCACTGTTTCCTGTTTGTGGCAAACATAACTGTGACACTGTCACCCCCACAGTGACCACAGATGCTGTGCATTAGGTGAAGCAGTTCACCATAGAAAGGGGCTGTCAGCTTATGGTTTACCCAGTAATGCCCTCAAACACTTCATGCATACATGTATTGACATCAAAATAAAAGAGTTACCTGAATTTGGATCTCTTTGCACTACATCAGGTTTCAAGTCATCACTTCTTAGAAACTTGGAGACCCGCCCAATAGAAACTCCAGCCTGGCCATCATATAAGAAAAAATAAATCATAAGTGAATCAATTAATTTTAGTATTACTTGTTACTCCTGTTAATTTATTCCCTAAATACTGTACTCATTTCAATCAACTAATATTACTCCCACTTCTTAAGAATAATGCCGGTAGTAAACATAATGACAAGAATAAGAAATCACATCTAGCGTGTATAATTGGAGAATGTGATAGCATACATTATGTGAACATTTTTTACTCAAAGTGATAGTAAGAGATATAGACATAATTACACTACTTTCATTACTAACATTATATTACAAGTCATGATTCAATAACAACATTTTATTTGATGGCATGGTTCACATACATGTGTTTCATCAATTTTTTAGCTCTAACTTTTATCTCCAACTTCATTCCAGGACTTTTTCAAATTTTCCTGGTGAATGCCTAAAGTAATGAAAGATGTAACCAAAGGCAGATCTCTGGCATCATGTTGTCTCTTCGTATTTTAAAAACTAAATAAGTGTACATGTCTTTGTCAGTGTCTGCTTGGTCCAGGCAAAAACATTTAAGAATGGAACAGTTTTCACTTTTCTTACAAAATGTCTCAATGAGTGTGTTTGCATTTTTTTCTTTCTGTTATCATTTTAAAGGACTGAAAATAATAATACAAATGCATGAAGATATATACAAAAAACTGTGTTATGCCCTTGGCGGGCTGTTACGGGGTTTGTCTTTCTGTGAGGCTGAGATAATAATTTGAAATGGACAAGCCAGCAAAGTGTGGTATTGCGGAGTAGCGTAGGCCAAACATTGGAGGAACTACATAACTGTGGAAAAGCATTTTACCTTATTAAAAATTATCTCTCTGTCATTTTAAAGTTTCACATTCCAGTTCCAAACTGCAAGAACCTTATTTACGACAGTTAAAAAGCACACTGTACCTGAATCAGAAAAGGGATGATCATAGGTAAGAAGGTCATGGGTTGATTGAGAATGGCAAACAGAGAGAAGGACACGAATGCTGTTGATGGATCAAGGTAGCCAGAGTCTGATATAGCTATGTAAGTCCCAAAAGATGCCAGCTGGACCTAAGAAAGAAACAAAACTGAAGTGAAGGTCTCTGTGACAAAACAGTACACGATAAGCCCTACATGGATATCCAAAAACAAAAAAACGGAAGCAAATGCTCAACATTTCATTCATAGTGTGTAAGCTTTTTAAAGATAAATCAAATTGAATTGAAATACAATGTAGTCTCAAATAAATGGTTGTACAAAGATTTTTGTCGAAAACCAATGGTTACACCACATTTTGCAACAGATAGTTTAAAGAGTTACTTGTTAAAGATCCTGCCAGCGCTTTGAATTTTTAAAAAGTAGAATTTAGTTATTGAAGATTACCCATTTTTGCACATATTCTTATGAATGATAGTCAAAGCTGAGCATCTCTTTATATTACCCAGGTATATGTAGACATACGTTTTCATTGCTTATTCTCATGTATTCAGTAATGGAGGCATTTCCACTTTTGTTCAAACCACAAGGACGGCTGTGGTAAGCACTGATTTTTAAAGTTTTCTCAAAACAATGAAATGACTAAGGCATATGATTCAGCCTACTAAATTAAATGAAGCAGTTGGCATACGTCATTGAATAGCTACTTACCACATACGGAGCACAAGTCCACACAAATGTTGTGACTGCCACAAGATATGCTGTCTTTTTCAATATACTCAGTTCTTCATTTCTTATATCAGTGATCTTTTTCTGGAAAGACTCCTCCCAAGCATACAGTTTCAGCACCTTGAAAGAAAGACATTTGTTTGTCAGTCCAATGAAGCTTGAATGTAACAGTCCCAGGAAAATTGGAAGCACCAGCCTTAATTTAATAAACCTTTGAAACTTTTGATTTATTAGATGGAGAAATTTTTTCTTGAATGCAAAGTGAAAGAATTCAATTCCTAATCTCACAGATTAAAAACCCAATTAGAAAGAGACAAATGTAATTCTTAGGATACTTGAACTGCCATAAAGGCCTTGAACATCTTGCTCTCATTGAAAAAGTAAAATCCAAAAGAGCAGGATATGAGATATATTTTAGAGCATCCTAAAAAAGAAATGAATGGTGAACCATGATCGCCAATGTTTGTTTCAGACCCCGTACATGAAGAACAAGAAAAACCACCAGTAAAACAATAAATACCTTCATTCCATTGAGAACTTCATTCATAATTTTGATCCTCTTGTCTTTGACCTTCATCTGCCTTGTTTGGTATCCCCTCTGCATGTATGCAGCCCACGCGTTGATGGGCATCAGCAAAATGAGGACTCCCAAGCCAGCCATAGAGGCAGCACCTAGCGTGCCCCACAGCATGTACATGGCCAGCACAATCATCAGGGGCATTGACCAAGCCATGTAGATGTAACCTGAACATTATCAATATACACATTCAAAATTATGATTCCGTCTGTTTACAATTAAAATTCATAAATCACACAACATCCCCATTGTTTATACATCTACACTAGCTCCCTGTCGGAGCTTGTATTGACTACAAAGTTACAGCAATGAGTTATAAGGCATATAACAATATCATCATCATCACTGCCTTTCTCACCCTGGGCCAGGGTATAGGCCAGGAACAAACTTTAACACTTTCCACCTTTCCCTATCCTGCCTCTTATAACATTATGGCACTTCAATATCTTTCTAATTTACTACAGGAGTATCTTCCAACTCAAGATTTACTGTCCTTTAATAAAAAGAAAATTTAAGGCTGTGCCTTAGACAATTTTTTTTATCGGAGGTACGGCTTTTTGGACAGCTGCTCCCTCAGTGTGGAATTCCCTCCCGCTGCATTTAAGAGAGGGGCCTGAGAGGACTGCATTTAAAACTGATCTAAAGACATATGTATAAATAAATTCTATTTTACCAGCTAATTTGGTTCTTCTTTCAACAAATTTTGCAGCAAAGTCTTTCAGTCTACTTTCTCATCAACTCATGATAACCAGCTACGTCACAAAAAATTGAAGAAGCTTATGAAGTCCCACTGTAGCCTACTTTACTTTGTGCTGACACTAGAATATATATTTTCCCCATCATTTTGTAGAGGAAAGAGGGGGGGGGGGAGTCTTAAAATTTCATCATACATCAGATTGGGATGCATCAAATACAATCAACTTTTTGGGGGCTTTACAGATCAATTATTTATCATGTGTAAAGATCATGATTTAAGTACGACGATAAAAGAACACAGGAGAATTAATTATTTTGTAACCTGTGGCATCTTGAATTCTTTGGCAATCTACTGACATTAGATTCACAATTTCTCCAACAGTTGATTCTTTCTTTGCTTCATTGCTGATGGTCAAAGCCTGTAGGTAGACACAAAGACAAAAATTCATATAATTGTGCTATTGGAGTTATTTAATCAAATACACCATGAGAACCTTTTCCACGAAACTTATGTGATATTCTAAGAACCCTATGGAGAGCAATAAGTTCAGAGAAAGTAATTTTCATATTACCAGGAAAAGCTGACAGGTTCAGTTTCATGTAAATGGTAGAAAGTCTTTAAAGCCTTTCAGGTCAGCAGTAAAAAAAAAAAAAAAAAAAAACTGCAGTAGGTGGTCACAGTAACAATATCATTATAATTCATTTTTTTAAAACACGACGAAAAGCAAAAGGGAATTAAAAATATACATTTTTTTGGGACATGGTATTTTTAATACTGTGACTTGAGGCCAGTTGAAACTTCCTATGAATCCATACAAAACCCAAATTTCTTTGGCAAAGACACCGGGGATTCAGAGAGGGAGGACAGAGGAGATTTTAATCTTTTTCAATCAGGTTACCAGCTCATGATTGACCTCTCAAACATGTTCTACTATAGCTGTTTGCGTACAAATTTCAAAAAGCTACAAAAAGGATGAATCTATTACACAATCATATCTATTTTCAAACATGCAAATCACCATGCAATTAATAAAGCTTTAATTTGTTTCATCCTTTCATTTGTACCAGTACAGCCAGCAAAACCTTATTCGGGGAGGTAGGCCCCCACCTATAAAGTAAGGGTAACAACCATGATGAAGCTTATTGGAGCATTATCATTTGTCATTGCTATTGCTCTTGAATGATTGATAACTTTTAAAACGATTCCAGAGTAACGAGGCTGCCTACATTACTCTACATTACTTTATAATGCGTATTATTTAGGCATTATAAATGCCTTTCAGAGTTTGTTTGAAACATAAATTTACTGCTCAAGAAACACTCTCATCAAAATGAAATCATCCACCTGTTCTCATAGTTTTCTTCACACTTTTTCTTCAGAACTTTACTGTTGACCTATGATGATTTGTTGCATGACATTAAATTCTAAAAATTCTTCTTCTTCAAAATCTGTTTTGAATTTTTACAACCACCACAAAAAAACATAAAACTTACGGGTCACTAAATGTTACAAGAGAGAAACGGGAATGAACACATAATTCATCTGCAAGATACCTTTTAAGAGCAGTACATACAATCTATAGACTTACCTTTTTATATACAGAAGCTATCACTGCATTTTTGATGCGCATTCCCAGGGTCATACTGATATGAAAGTGGTACTGGTAGAGGCATGTCTTGCACATGGCAATTAAAAAGAAGGAAAATGCAAGCACATACCCCTTCCATTCCTGTTCGTTCTCACGGTTTTGGGTAAAGGAGATTAACTCACTGAAACAAAATTTAAACATCTGATCTTCAAAATGCAAACAAACAGTACAAAAAAAACAAAAACAAATATTAATCTTGAAAAGAGATTATAAATGTGTATGTTGTCACTGTCCAAACACCCGTCCTCCCCTATGCCTAGGTTTATTTGAATAAAAACCAAATATCACTCTTAAAACACTTTTTAAAGTGTATTGTTTTGCTGCTTAGTGTGAGCAAAAATGGTTGAAATGACTCATTTCTCATGTAATAGTGACAATACTTGGAACTGACAGTAAAACCACACTTCCTTAAAATCTTTTCCACTGTAACAAACCGGACAAAAAGTGAAAAAATGACTTACTTAATCAACAGCGGCGTGACAAATGTTAACAAGTCAGACAGCAATTTTAGCAGCTGGGGGAAGAAAAGAGAAAATGAGAATTGATAGGATTTCATAACTCTTGGAATTTGTTTTCATGATAAAAGATGCAAAAAAACTTAGAGTAACAGCTGCTGACAAACCCAAGGACACAGCCAGTTGCGCGTTCACATCTTTTAAAAACCATATTGCGTTCTTTTTACTTTTACTATTGTTTTTCTTCTTCCCAATAGAACATAACAATAACTGTCAGTGTTCACACACTGAGAAAACTGTTAATAAATAGTGATTGACGGTTTAAGATTTTCTGTCACAATAAAGTTATAGCCTAATCTTTTCATGATTTTATGAAAAAAACACTTGAAAGCAATGAAAACCACATATTCATGATCTTCTATAATATCTAGATGATTAAAATGCCTCTTAAACAAAACGAATCAAACATGAAAACACAATTCAGTTGTTTACCTGTGAAGCCAAAATCATTCCACCAAACACTTTGAGAATAACTTTTGGCAGTGAGGGTGTAGCCAACTTCACATTCTCATCCCTATCCTTCCTGAACTCAACAGAGTCATTTCCAAGCAAACTAGATTTCTCATTCACATTTCCACTGGATGTGCGGTGTACTTTGTGATAGCCAGAACTGTATAGTGACTGCCGGCTGCAAGATGAAATAAAACAGCTTTCAGACCACAACTCTTGTCAACAGCAGTCAAAATTATGAGTATCCTAACAAGTAGAATATTTTTTAGCACCTGAAATTGGATGACATACATATAACAGATTTTTTTTTTCGGCACTTACAACACGATATGGTCATAAAAGTACCGAAGATTAGAAGTTTTACAAAAGAGTAACAAACACAAAAAGGAGGAGGAGAGATAAGGAATACAGATATTTGATAGACAGATTTGTTTAACATCGTAGCATTTTGTCTTGCT